CCCCCGGCGATTAGTGGTCAATGAAACGGAAGCAAAATATGGGTATCAAGGTTCAAATTCAAGCGTAGAGCGTATTTTGGGAAACCGTCATGGGCATGAATTAATCTGAACTTTGTGAAAGAATTATCATTTCCTTGTTCGTCCCCAATGGACGTTTCAAGTCATCAGTCGACTGATTTGTGGATGAGGACTAGCAAATCTGAAGCTGTCACTTGGAGATGAAAGGACTCTGCACTTGACTGCCTGTCGGCTAGCTATCCCAACCTTCTCCTTCCGAACTGGTTTCTCCTGTTTGTATTTTGTGACGTCGAGATTTTGGACACGTCAACCATTTCTCTAGAATCAGACAAACAGATTTTGATTAAAATGATTTTTTTTGGTTGGTAACGAGAGATCAGACTATTATAGCAGACTTTTTCCTTCTTTTACCAGCGATTTCGTTAATCTTGCTAGTTATGATGCTGTACATAATTTGACACTATTTATTTTGAAATTAATGTGATGATTGACAAGGGAAATTGCAATTTCAGCCCTTCGTCTATCTGCAAATGAACAAATTCGTCCTTCTTGTTTTGCTAAGCCTATTCCAGTCCATCCATAATGTCAGATCAACACTTACTTCGGTTGGGAAATTAAGATCCCGTCTGGCCAAGCTGCTAAAAATAAGTAATTTCGGTCAAAAGTGCTTAATTTTGCAAAGTAACAGTTTGTGCTTGGCCAATTTATTGAGTTGTGCTTTTTGCAAGTAGATTATGTTTGGTCAATCATTCCAAAAAGTACTTTTTGAATACTAAATTACAAAAAAGACCGTAAAAGTTTAATTTGCAATTACTATTATTTAAAAAATATAAATGAATTTAAATATTTATTAAATTAAAATATAATTTAAAGATTTAATCATTATAAAAGTTAAACTCATTAGTTATCCATTTTCTAAAAATATGATAGAAAAAATATTCCAAAGATAAATAGGAGAAAGAGAATAAAAATATGATAGAATAAAACAAAGAAGAAATGTATGATAAAAGAGAAAAAGAAAATAGATTTGTTAAATTAGTGAAGGATAATTTGAAAACTATAAATTTAAAGTAAGGATATTTTTGACTTGAATAAATTAACTTTCTGTTTTTGCTTTTGCTCTTTGGAAGAAGATAGAATTTATAGTTTCTCCCCAAAAGTAGAAAAATTGCTTTTGTTGCTGTTCAAAAGTATTTTTTTTATTTTGACCAAATATTTTAAATTTTTCAAAAAGTACTTTTTTTAATAAAAAAGATACTTTTTGCTTCCCAGTAGCTTGGGCAAACATGCTATAAGACTCTATGTTCCCTAGAAAACTGTCTTATTTTCTCTTACACCCTATTTCTTTGGTTTAAGTCCTCAATGTTTTTAATTTGATTTATAAACTACCCGCTTTTCTCAACAGTTTTCCTACATCACATTTATATCATCTCATTTTCAAATATTACTCTATAAACTTGCTTACAGCTAAAGTAAGGATCAATAAAATTGAATTACCAATACTACCGTCGCAAACTTAAATTGGAATGTGTGGTAAGCCTTCTTTTTCATAAGAGTTAATACCCTCAAACTCGTCTACACTATACATTTTTTGTCAGTTTCCTACCTAAACTATCGAGTGTCCCTGAAAATTTCCTGAACTATATTCCGCTTCATAATAAAATCCCTCATCTCATTCTTACTAATGCATATGATATACACTCTAAATAATTTTTAAAACCTGCCATGTGGCAATCCACGTGGAAAGTTAATAACATTAATCTTATAAACATGCTTAATTAATATATGTTAATCTAATTACGTGAAAAAATAAAAAAGGGTTTATTTACCCAAGTCCGTCATTTACTCCTCTCACAGTATGGTTTTTTTGCTCTCATCGGAAAACTTCTCTCATCTCCGATGAGACACACCTTTTCTAAGTGACGATTCTTTCCATTAATCACGGTTTCTACCATCAATTTCTTTGTCTATTGTTGCTGATATCCGAAATCAGGATTAAATCTAGGGTTTTGCTAGTGAATCAGTGTAAAGAATTTGGATTTAGGGTACTGAAAATTCTGAAAATTGTTTGAAAGAAATACCTTAGTTGTTAAAGAAGATAACTTCATTACATATCCTATTCTTTATTCCCTATTACAAATACTTGAAAGGATGTTCTTTCTTTCAAATAAATTTGGGTAAGAATAAAGGATGGATAAAATGATAAAGATAAAAAATAAACTCAATAATAACAACAAAGAGAGAATTTCAAGTGGATTAAGATGAAGAAATGGAGAAAAAAGGTTTAAAAAACTGAAGAAGAAAGGTAAAAAAATGGAGAAGAAAGGTGTTGTTATGGAATAATAGAAAATAAAGTAACACAAGAGGAATTTAGAGGGAGATAATTAATAAACTTTTCTTGATGATGATCTTATACAAATGAGTAGAGAAGTCTTCTATTTATGATAGAGTTATTTGGTGACCAAGTAACTAGTCTTAGTGGCCAAGTAACTAGACTAGTTTATGACTAACTAACTTTCTCCCAAATAACTTCATAATACATGGACATTCACTCTTAATAATATTTATAACACTTCCCCTTGAATGTCCATTACTAAATAATGTGACTCGATAAAACTTTATTAGGAAAAATCCAGTGGGAAAAATTCTAGTGAAGGAAAAAGAGTAAACATGTCTAATAATTGCTTTTTGGTTGCCTCGTTGAAAGCTTGCAAGGAAAACTCAATGGGACAAAATCTTGTAAGGAAAAAAGAGTACAACGCATATTAATTCCCTCCGATTAGAGCATCAATTCACATCTTTGAGCCTTCACATCCCAATCTTGTAAACTAGCTTCTTGAAGATTGATGCCGGTAGAGATTTGGTGAACAAATCAACCATATTATCACTTGAACGAATTTGTTGCACATTGATATCACCATTCTTTTGAAGATCATGTGTGGAAAATAACTTTGGTAAAATGTGTTTTGTCCTATCTCCTTTTATGAATCCTCCTTTTAATTAGGATATGCATGTTGCATTATCTTCATACAAAATCGTGGGTAGTTTGACACACTTCAAACCACATTTTTCACGAATAAGATGTATTATAGACCTCAGCCATACACATTCTCGACTTGCTTCATGAATAGCAATTATCTCTGCGTGATTAGATGAAGTAGCCATGATTTATTGCTGAGTCGATCATCAAGATATGGCAGTGCCTCACATATAAACACATAGCTTGTTTGAGATCGTGCCTTGTGTGGGTCAGATAAATACCCAGCATCGGCATAACCAATAAGACCGGGACTGCAATTATTGCCATAAAATAAGCCCATATTAGTAGTCCCTTTTAGATACTACACAATATGTGTTTGATTACATTCCAATGTCTCTTTATAGGAGTAGCTATATTTTACTAAGACATTAACTGAAAAAGTTATATTAGGCCTTGTAGTGTTAGCAAGATACATTAATGCACCAATTGCACTAAGATATGGTACTTCATGACCAAGAAGCTCTTCATTCTTTTCTTGAGGTTGGAACAGATCCTTATTCACATTAAGTGATCGAACCACCATCAGAGTACTTAATTGATGTGCTCCATCCATGTAAAACCGTTTCAATAC